CGGCTCGGAGTCCAACAAGCTCCATAAAGCGCGCGTTCGCGCACGCCATGAAGCGAGTGTTCGGGATTCAAGGCACCATAGACGCCATTCAGTGTGTCTCTGGCCGTGCGTGCCAAATGTGTCGGGTCGGAGTCCAACAAGCTCCACAAGCGCGCGTTCGAGCACGCCATGAAAAGCGTGTTCGGGATCCAAGGCACCATAGACGCGATCCAGGTGCGAGAGGGTGCTACCAGCCTAACGGTCACAATTTGACGGCCTTTGATTCGAGCATGCCATGCGGAGAGTGTTCGGGATCCACGGCACCATAGACGCGATCCAGGTACGGGGTAGCAAGCAGCGCTGCTAGCATGACGGTTGTAGCATGACGGTCGTAGCATGACGGCCGTAGATGCCATGCGGAGAGTGTTCGGGAGCCACGGGTTGACTTTTGAGTCGACTCGAAAGGCACCATCGACCCCATTCAGGTGCGAGGGGGACTCGATGCCGTAACAGAAGCTTGGGTGAAGAGCCGAGAATCGGAGGTTCCACACAATTGATGCATTGATGCATGCACGTTCTGAGCTCCACACGAGTGGAATGCCGGTGCCGATGACAGCACTCTGAGAGTCTTACACCCGAAACACCCCGAAACACCACCGAAACACCCGAGACAATGGCTGTATGCATCAATTGAGCATGACATGTCATCTCATTCCCGCCTAACCCTTTTCTTTGGTCCCCTTCACTATCCCCTGCCCCTTGTCTCCCCTCAGCACCATGGCAGCACGGATCAGGCTGTCCTCATCAACACCCTCGAGTTCTACGGCATTCCCAGACACGTGAGTGTTGCCTGTTGTGCACTGCACAGGATCGGATCCGGCTGCTATCACCAGCACACTCGAGTGCTACGGCATTCCCAGAGATGTGAGTGTGAATCTCTGTGCGCATCATTCATCATTACTTTGGTGGGTGTACTTGTTACTGCGTGTATTGATACTCAGATAGGGGTTCTCGTGAACACCCTCGAGTTCTACGGTATTCCCAGACATGTGAATTCTGATAGCTGTGAACACCCTCGAGTTCTACTATTCTAAATTGCGGAGATGGGTGTACTCGTTGCGGTGATGGTGTACTCGTTATTGGATCGATTGGTAGACGGATAAAGCTGTTTCAAGCAACGCTGGCATTGCGGGGGACATTCCACTGGGCACTGTCATTCACTTCCCCTTACACCTGCAAATCGGCAGCCCAAGTTGCCAGCACTGTCTCGGGCAGCAGCGGGGAAGCAATGGAGTGAGTTTTGAGGCGCCTCAAAAGCAGCGGGGAGAGCAATGGAGTGCGGAGGGGATCCTCAGCAGCCCCGAGTGCCAGCACAGAGGGGATACTCAGGGCCCTGCTTTCCCCTCGCACCTCAGCGCTCACCTTTCCCCTTCCTTCCGTCCTTCCTTCCTTCCGTCCTTCCTTCCGTCCTTCCTTCCGTCCTCCTTCCTTCCTTCCTTCCTTCCTTCCTTCCTTCCTTCCCTCCCTACCTCTGACGCCTGCAGATCAGCGAGCCTTAACTGGCAGTGCTGTGTGCGGCCATGCTGCAGCAGCACTGCCAGGAGCATGCGGGCGATGCTCAGGCTCTGCCTTCCGCCTCACATGATCCGCTGCTTGCCCTTATTGCGCCCCCACCACCCACAGATCAGTGAGCCGCCGCTGCCGGTGCTGTGTGCAGCCATGCTGCAGTACTGCAGGGAGCCTGCGAGGGGGGATGCAGCGACCTTGTGTCTTTCCGCCCATCACTCCCTGCAGATCAGCGAGCATGCTCAGGGAATACGCGAAGCCATGCTGCAGTGCTGCTGGGAGGGAGCATGTGGGGAAGACGACCATGCTGAGGGTCAGCGACGACCTCTCACTCCCTACAGGCAAACCCCAGTGCGCTCAGGGTTGGTCTTGTGCCTTTCTGCCCCCTACTTCCTGCAGATAAGCGAGCCTCAGCTGCCAGTGCTGTGCGAAGCCATGCTGCAGTACTGCAGGGAGCACGCGGGGGACTCAGCGGACGGCATTGCGCTGCTGCCAGGTGTCCGCACGTTATTGGAGGAGCTCACGGGCGTGCAGCCCAACGTGGTGGTGGGACTGGTGAGGAAAATAGGGGAAGTGGCGATGGTTGCTGGTGTAACCCTGGGCTTGACACGTGTCTTGGCACGTGCCTCTTGGTCAAATGTAATGTAACTGCGATATGGCTCGAAATAATTCTACTGATTTCACCCTGAGCACTGCAAATACCATACCATGCCATGCCATGCGATTCCAGGTAATGTCATGTATGCTTGCACTGAACGTGGCTGTACGTGGGCTCATTTGGCAGTACATGGCATTGCATGGCAGGTGACGGGCAATCTGGAGGACATCGCGTGGCTCAAGATGGAGGGGCTTGACGTCGATGCCCTCTTCACCGCACCACACATTGGGGGGTAATGGTTAGCTTTGAGACGCTTCACACGATGCCATGGTTTGAGACGCTTCACGTGATGCCATGGTTCGAGACGCTTCACGCGATGCATGTTTTGAGAGGCTTCACACGATGCCATGGTTTGAGACGCTTCACGCGATGCCATGTTTTGAGAGGCTTCACACGATGCCATGGTTTGAGACGCTTCACGCGATGCCATGTTTTGAGAGGCTTCACACGATGCCATGGTTTGAGACGCTTCACACGATGCCATGGTTTGAGACGCTTCACACGATGCCATGGTTCGAGACGCTTCACACGATGCCATGGTTCGAGACGCTTCACACGATGCCATGGTTTGAGACGCTTCACGCGATGCCATGGTTTGAGACGCTTCACACGATGCCATGGTTTGAGATGCTTCACACGATGCCATGGTTTGAGAGGCTTCACACCATGCCATGGTTTGAGAAAGCAGTCTGGGGGGCGTAGCATAACTTAAGATGGAAGGGCTTGACTTGATGCCGAGCCCCTTTTCACCACGCCATTATCATCATCATGATCGTCGTCATCATCATTGTTCCTAACGCCTGATGTGTCATTTCCCAGCATGGACCATTGGGCCATTATTCTACGCCCTCCCCCCCACCCCCCTTCCTCCTCCTCCATTCCTGCTTGGCCTGTGCAGGTTCGGCAGCGACCATATGGATCGGGGAGAGCTAGTTCGGATAGCGAGGCAGCGGGCAGAGGAGAGAATACCAGGTCCGCCCTTCAGGCTGCATGCTCATGTTGGTGACACGGTGAGATGAATTCAATTCCTCCTCCTTTCCTTCCACTCACTTACCCCAACCTTTCCATCCTTGCACTATCAAGATCCTACCTTTTCCCTCTTTCCTCTCCGTTGCTTTCAACTCCCGCCCAACCCTTCCACCCTCTCTTTCTTCATACCCTTTCCTTTCCACCCCACGTGTGCTGCGTTGTTACCTGCCCGATCAACTTTCCCCACTGTGCGTACCTGCAGCCGAATGACATCATTGCTGCCAGGTTCGGTGGTGCCAAGCCTATCGGGGTCTGCACTGGAATCTTTTCCAAGGCTGAGCTGCTGGCTGTGCTGCCTCCACCCCAAGCCAAGGAACTTCCCCAAGCACAGAATCAAATTCTTCATGTGCTGATGCTGCAGCAGTAGCAGCTACTGCACCTGTTGCACTAGTGTCTGGTGCACCAGATTGTGGCAGTAATGGCGGATGCACTGACAGTAGTAGCAGCAGCAGCACAAATGGTGTTGTGCTGGAAGCGGTTATTCTTGACTCATTGGAGTGCTCCTCCACCTTTTTCAAGGCATGTGATCTTCCCATCATCTCGGCTTCCTTATGATTTGTATCCAGTGCACTTTTTATCAATCACACCTTTGGCACTAGCATGTCCACAAAGTTGCTAGTGTAAGTAGTAACGAAAGGAACGAAATGCAATGATCAGACCCACTGTAGTGCTGTTTCCCCTATCTAAATCAAGTGCAGCATCCCATCACACCAGGCCTCTCGTTAACAGGGTAATTACCCTTAATGTCGAGAAATTAAGGGTATTTTTTCCAGCGATTCCGTTTTTCTAGGGTGCGATTTTTTTCCGAATCTGTCCAATTAACGGGAAAGATTTCAATCGATTCCTTTGCGTAAAGGGTTTTTTTTTAATGAATACTTACGGGCCATTCTCGTAGTGGCGCACTCTGTAACGGATTGAGACCCCAAACCCCCGCCCCCGCGCCCCCACCCCCCCCCCCCCCCCCCCCCGCCCTCCCACCTGTCAACTTATACATATTAGCTATGTAGATGTTATAGGCTAGACTGAGGTATGCTTCTAGTGAGTACAACCAACTAGTATTTGTTCTAGGTTTCCACTTCCAGTCATCATTCGTTCTCACGTTAACATGGTATCACGCATAGGTTAGCATCCCCCACCTACCGCTTCCGCCCGTACCCTAGCTAGGCCTTGTCGCGCCTCCTAGCCCTGTAGCGCCTCCTAGCCACGTCGCGCCCCTCTGGCCCCGTCGCGCCACCCTAGCCCTGTCGCGCCCTCCTGGGCCCCGTCGCGCCCCTCCTGGCCCCGTCGCGCCCCCTGCCCCGTAGCGCCCTGCTTAGCCCGTCGCGCCCTGCTTGGCCCCGTCGCGCCTGCCTGGTCCGCCGCGCCTCCCTGGCCCTGCCGCGCCTCCTGGCCCCGCCGCGCTGCCTGGCCCGCTGCCCTGCCTGGCCCTGCCGCCTGCCTGGCCCCGTCGCGCCCTGCCTCCCCGTCGCGCCTGCCTGGCCCCGTCGCGCCTGCCTGGCCCCGCCGCACTGCCTGGCCCTGCCGCGCCTGCCTGGCCCCGCCGCGCCTCCTGGCCCCGCCGCGCCTGCCTGGCCCGCGCGCCTCCTGGCCCCGCCGCGCCTGCCTGGCCCCGCCGCCTGCCTGGCCCGCCGCGCCTGCCTGGCCCGCCGCGCCTGCCTGGCCCGCCGCGCCCCCTGGCCCCCGCGCCTGCCTGGCCCCGCCGCGCCTGCCTGGCCGCGCCAGCACCTGCCTGGCCCCACCGCACCTGCCTGGCCCCTTCGCCCCGGCTCGTCCTGCCGTGCCGCCTCGGGCTCCGTCTCCTCTGCTCGCCGTGCTGAGGCGCTTCGCGGCCGCCGTGCTGGAGGGGGCTGTCGCTGTGTTCCTGTGGAGCTGTGCCGCTGACCCTGCACGATGGCGGACTTCGTGCTCCGACTGGACGCCGAGGGCCATGCGGTTGACTTCGCCGCCTGGCTCTCCGATCTCCGCCGCCACCTTACAGGTCAGCGCCAGGATGGCCACTCTTTGGTTGTCCATGTCGACGGCTTGCTCCCCGCCCCCCGCACCTGCTCCCCTCCCTGCTGATCCCTCCTCTGATGACCGTGAGACCTTCTCTACTGCTGCGCTTGCCCGTGCGGTCTGGGACTCCCGCGATGCAGTCGCTCAGGTTGCCATTAGCCACGCCCTCCCTGTCTCTGAGCGCTCGCGTTTTGCTACTATTGAGACGGCCAAAGCTTACTTAGACGCTGTTATTGCTCGCTATTCCA